CCCCAAAACCCCAAAACCCCAAAAGGGTAATTGTTGATTATCTAATTAAGCGTAATGAGATTAAAATATTATCAAGCAAAATATATCTTTAATCATAAGTAAATATCATAGATATTAAATAGAATGGAAAGCACAGACGCTTTAAAACTTGCAAGACAATTGGAGAATGATCTCATTAAGATTGGATAAATGGAAGGCTAAACTACTGTTTACGATGCTCCTTTCCCTCTAGTATTAGTTCCAGCTTAACACAAATTGAATTTCCTTTAACTTCAAGAATTTTTCTTAAAGAACAATGAGAAGATTCTTGAATGTGCATCACAATATGGTGCTGTCATGTTCAAAGGTTTTGATATCCTTTCCCCTGAAGAGTGGGTTTCAGTCCTCTATAAATCAGGCTTGAAAGAAGTTTAATATATTGGGGGTGCTGCAGTTAGAAAAGTAGTGGTTGGCAATGAATCAAATGAACTCAAGAATCTATAAGTCGTGACAACTAATGAAAGTCCTGCATCTCAGCCCATTCCATTCCATCATGAACTTGCTCAGACACCATTCCCACCCTCTCACATATGCTTCTATAGTCACACTAAAGCTCTAAGTGGCGGCTCAACCCCAATAATAAGATCGGATATAGTTATTGATTTCATATAAGCTAATTATCCAGATTTAGTAACAAGATTTGAAAAAGGAGTTAAATACATTAGAAGAGTGCCTGAGGTTGATGATCCTTCATCAGCTATTGGAAGGTCCTGGAAATCTATGTTTAAAGTTACTAATTAAGAAGAGGCTGAGGAGAAAATGAAAGAATAAGAATACGACTGGGAATGGATTAAAGTTGAAGATGGAACTCACGATTGTAAAGTTATTTCAAAGGTATTGCCAGCAGTAAGACAAAGCACTAATGGAAGAAAAACATTCTATAATCAAATATTGGCTGCCTACACTGGATGGGTTGATAAAAGAAATGAGTATGGCCATGCTGTTGTCTTTGATGATGGGTCTTTGATCCCCTAAGATTTTATAGTAGCTCTTGAAAAATTTATGAATGATAATGCTTGTGTATATGAATGGAGTGAGGGATAGTTTGTAATTATTGACAATAGTGTCACTTATCACTCAAGACAACCATTTGTTGGTAGAAGAGTAGTCTATGCATCAATTGCTAATGGCAAAAAACAAATTGATCTTAACCAACCATCATTAGTCCTGTCTAACGGGGAACACATGCCATCAATTGGTCTTGGTCTCTGGAAAATTCCAAACTAAGATTGCGAAAGAATTGTTCACTAAGCACTCAAGCACGGTTATAGATGCCTTGATTCTGCATGTGATTATGGAAATGAACAAGAGGTCGGATTGGGCATTAAAAAATCACTTGATGAAGGTGTCTTAAAAAGAGAAGAACTTTGGATTACATCCAAGTTATGGAACACTTATCATAGAAAAGAACATGTCAAGGCTGCATGCCTCAGAACACTAAAGGATTTGGGAGTTGATTACCTAGATCTCTACCTTATTCATTTCCCAGTTGCTTTGAAATTTGTACCTTTTGAATAAAGATACCCACCAGGTTGGAATCATCATGATACTCCTCAAGAACAGCCTGACATGCTTGAGGATAATGTACCATTTGAGGAGACTTGGAGAGCTATGGAATCTCTTGTTGATGAAGGGCTAGTAAGAAATATTGGAATGTGTAATGTTGGAACCTCCCTTCTTAGAGATGTTTTGAATTATGCAAGAATCAAGCCCACAGTATTATAAGTTGAGATGCATCCATATAATACTCAACAAAAATTACTGAGATTCTGCAGAATGAGAGGAATTGCAGTAACAGCATTTAGTAACCTAGGTGCTGGTTCATACACAACAATTGGAATGGCCACTATGGAAGAGTCTTGCTTGAATGAGTAGGTGATAAAAGATGTTGCCAATAATCATAATAAGACTCCAGCTTAAGTTGTTTTAAGGTGGGGACTTCAAAGAGGAACATAGATTATTCCAAAAACTACTCATGAACAAAGATTGAAGGAGAACTTTGATTTATTCAATTTTAATCTTTCAGGTGACGAGATGAATGCTTTAGATAATTTAAACAAGAACAGAAGGTTCAATGATCCTGGTGATTTCTGTGAAGCAGCTTTCAAAACATTCTTCCCTATCTATGATTGATTATAAGCATTTGATTACAAGAAAATAAGTAAAAGTTATTTTAACTTTAAATTAATTGATAGATAAAATTATTATTGCTTGGGTTTTGGGGTTTTGGGGTTTTGGGG